TATTATGAGTTTTTTTTTTTTTTTTTTTAAAGATAATCTAATTAGACAAGAATTATTAATATATAAAAATATTTATTAATTTATAGAAAGAGTTTTTAAAAAATTTTCTATAAAACTCTAATATGTATTACCTATTTATCTATTCATTATGAGTTTTTTTTTAATAAAACAAAATATAATTAAACAAGAATATATCAAAAGAAAATTAAAATTTTCTATAAAATCTACTACAAATTAGCTAACTCTAAAATCTACCTAATAAAATTCACATTAACCTATTTATCTATTTATTATTATGAATTTTTAGTAAAAGAAAATCTAATAGGCAAAAATTATTAATATAAAAAAATTTATTAATTGATATATAAAATAAAGTTAATTTTCTAAAACTCTTACACAAATTAGCTTTTATTATGAGTTTGTTAATAAAATGAAATCTAATTAGACAATGATATATTTAAATAAAACAAAATAATTTCTATAAAACTCTACCACAAGTTACCTATTTTTTATAAAACTCTACTACAAATTAGCTTTCATTATGAGTTTTTAATAAAAGGAAATCTAATTAGACAAATATTATTAATATAAAAAATTATTTATTAATTGATAAAAAAAGGTTTTCAAATAGTTTTAATGAAACTATAACACAAATTACCTATTTCTCTATTTATTATGAGTTTTTTTTTAATACAAAGTAAATCTAATTAGACAAGAATTATTAATATGAAATATATTTATTAATTGATATAAAAAGAGTTTTTATAAGAGTTTCTATTAAATTCTAACACAAATTACCTATTTATTTATTTATTATAAAATATTTACTAATTGATATAAAAATGTTTTTATAAAAAAAGTTTCTATAAAACTCTAAAATTACCTAATAAAATCAAGAATAGTTATTTTTTATGGATAATTATCACAATATAACCTTCCCGACCCAGTTATGATTATGTCATTATTAAGAGAGGACACATGTCATCATCCTATTAAACCAAGAAGCCTATAAATAAAGGCATGGAGGAAGGAGAAAAGGGTACAGAAATTGAGAATTGTAGAAATCCAGAATTTCAGAAACTAATTCCGAAGCTCGGCCAAAGAGTTTCAGTATTTATTTATTTATATATAAAAATATTTATTAATTGATATAAAAAAAGGAGTTTAAGTGTTTCAATATTTATTTATTTATTTATGTAAAAAAATATTTATTAATTGATATGAAAAACTCTATAAAACTCAAAAATCTACCTAATAAAATTCAAATTAACCTATTTATCTATTTATTATTATAAAATTTTTAATAAAAGAAAATTTAATTAGACAAGAATTATTAATATAAAAATATTTATTAATTGATATATAAAATAAACTAATTTTTCTAAAACTCTACCACAAATTAACTTTTATTATAAGTTTCTTAATAAAGTTAAATCTAATTAGACAAGGATATATTTAAAGAAAATAAAATAATTTCTTTAAAACTTTATCAAAAATTACCTATTTTATTTTCAATAAAACTCTATCACATTAGACAAAGATATATTTAAAGAGTTTTTATAAAACTCTAACACAAAATACCTATTTATATATTTATTATGAGTTTTTTAATAAAAGAAAATTTAATTAGACAAGAATTATTAATATAAAAATTATTTATTAATTGATATAAAAAGAGGTTTTAAGAGAGTTTCTATAAACTCTAACACAAATTAACTATTTATCTATTTATTATGAGTTTTTTAATAAAAGGATATCTAATTAGACAAGAATTATTAATATAAAAAATATTTATTAATTGATATAAAAAGAGTTTTTAAAAGAGTTTCTATTAAACTCTAACACAAATTATCTATTTATTTATTATGAGTTTTTTAATTAAAGAAAATCTAATTAGACAAGAATTATTAATATAAAAAATATTTTTTAATTGATATAAAAAATAAAATAATTTTTCTAAAACTCCACCACAAATTACCTTTTATTATGAGCTTTTTTAATAAAGGGTAATCTAATTAGACAAGAATTATTAATATATATAAAAAGAGTTTTTAAAAGATTTTCTATAAAACTCTAACACATATTACTTATTTCTCTATTTATTATGAGTTTTTTTTTTTAATAAAAGAGAATATAATTAAACAAGAATATATTCAAAGAAAATAAAAAATTTCTATTAAATCTATCAAAAATTAGTTGTTTTATTTTTTATAAAACTCTATCACATTATTTATTTATTATGAGTTTTTTAATAAAATAAAATCTAATTAGACAAGAATATATTTAGACAAAATAAAATAATTTCTATAAAATTTTACCACAAATTAAAAAAAAAAATGCAAAAAAAATTCTATAAGTTACAAAACATTTAGCACGTGCATCACATGCCTTTTCCTAGTGTGTGTGTGTAGATATATATATATATATATATAGATGTATAAAAATTAGATATCAATAAAAATTAAAATAAAAAAATAATTATAATAAAATAAGTAAAAAATAACTGGTATGGATATGAGAGACATGCAATCACTCTCTTAAAGTCTTATAATCTCCTTAGGTGCAAGTATGGATGGCAATGGGGCGGGGTGGGGCGGGGATCTCATTCTCCATCCCCATCTTCAGTCAAATTTTTTACCCCCATCCCTTCCCCCATATCCGTTTAATTTTCAACCCCCTTCCCCATCCCCACCCCACCCCGCCCCGCCACATAAGTCCCCGTCCCCGCCCGCCCCGCCCTGCTTAGCATAACATTTTTTAAATTTCAATTCACCTTTAACAAAATCAACACAATCCTAATATTTTTAAACCTAATAATTTAATAAAGTTTCAGCACAATTATAACAATTTAAAACATGATTAGATGTTTGATGCATAACAATTATGCTTTTTCTTTATGCTGCGAGGGAATAGATCTAGGGTTTCACTTTCAGAAGTGAATATATTATGTATATAGTTATGTAATTTAGTAATATTTTATAATATGTAAGGGTAATTTTGTAAAAATGTACTATAAACGGAGCGAGACGGGGCGGGGTTACTCTCCTCCGCCCCCGCCCCCGCCCCCGCCCCCGCCCCATCCCCCGTCGGGGTTTCAAATACAATTCTCATTCCCTCCCCATTTACATAAATGGGTCCCCAAACCCGCCATAAAATGGGGTGGGGTGGGGTAGGGCTGGGACCTGCCGAGTATGGAAATTTTGCCATCTCTAGGTGCAAGCGGACCATTACACCCTCCCCATTTATATAAATGGGTCCCCAAACCCGCCATAAACAGGGTGGGGTGGGGTGGGGACCCGCCGAGTATAGAAATTTTGCCATCCCTAAGTACAAGCGGACCATTACAGTTCTAAAATATAACCCATATTAGTTAGTGATCTTTTATTGACACATCCACAAAAAGACAATGTTGTACCAATCTTTTGGCGATGTTGTACCAATCTTTTGGCAAGTTGTCCCAAATTTAATATGATAATACTCTTCAAGTATAATAATATCTCAAAATCAAGGAAGATGTATGAGATATAGAGATAGGTTTTTTCAAAGTAGGTTCACAGACTCACATAACTCAAAGAGCGTCTTACACAAAGTGTAGTACAAGTAATTATTTATATACTTACAACATGTAATGTTTATATATCATTATTATAGAAATTAAAATGATGTAATGATGGGAATAAATATAATAATAATAATAATACTTAATAATATTTATGATTTATAATAATGATACTTGAATAATAATATTTATACTTTTATTTAAAAAAATTCAACAAAAAAATACTTTTAGAATCCAAGTCAAACACCAGAAAATAGAACGGAAGAAAAATTACTCTTCATGTAAAATATTTTACAGAATAAATATATTAAAAAAAGATTGAATTGGTTGGACCATTTAAATTTTGGAATCACACAATTCACTCACACTTGAGTGGAGGGCAATAGTATGAGGGTATTAAAGACTTTTCCTAAGGAGCATCATCTTTCTTTGTTATTTAATTGTCACTTTAATATGTGGTTCTTTTGCATGCACATACTAAAATTAAAATAAACATACATGTCATACATGATCACAAGAAATATAGCATCTTTACAGGCGGAGTATTTTTTGATGCCATTTTGTCAGTATCTCATTACAAGTATTAGCTGGGGTTTTTTTTAATCCTATTTATGTGTTGTATTAGGATTACAGATAAAAGAATATAATTTAGGGTTTTTTTTTTTTTTTTTTTTTTTTTTTTTTATTTAAAAACGCTTACAAATAAAATCGAATTTTGTTTTCGTTCTTACCTTAATTTATATGATAAGTCAGATACATGAATTTTCTTTTTTTATTCTTTCTTATTATACATTATGTCTTCTTCTAAATTTATTTTTTATTTTTAAATTTTAATTACTTCATTTCATGTAACCTTTGATCAATTGTTTTATTTCGAGGAAGCTGTGATTAATCACAGTCTATTTATTTTCTGGACTCCAGCACATTGTGGTGATGATGATGTGATAAGGAGACATTGGCCTGAAATATTATAGGCCAGTTTGACAAATTTTTAGTGAAAGCACTCTGGCTTTAGTCAAAGCAGTTCCAAGAGGTAATTCAACATTATTTGGCTTTAGTCCTTGTTTGTATGTGCAAGGAAAATGATGAGAATAAATCGCAAAAATTGATTAGAATCAACTGAGAGGTATGCTTAACTGCAACATGATATAAGAGGAATAACTTAAAATATACACTCTGGGGTTCTGATTACTTTTTGCCAAACAAAGTATGAAAAGACAGAAATTTGCCCCAATTGAGTGATGCCGAAAGCTGACACTTCAACCTTCTTGTAGTTATCTGTGCAAGAATTTTCCATTCATCCAAACAGGTCTGATGCTTTTCAATTTTGACTTCTTTATGTTTGTTCAAAATTGGGTATTATTATAGCCTCTTTTTTTTATTCTAAGTTTCCCTTGTAGGTAATTTGTTACAATTTTGTTAAAGAAATATGAAAATTGCCAATGACTTGTATGGACTCGGTATCTTTTGCACTCATTTCTATATTGTATTTTGTCATACCCATCCAACAACTTATTTTGTGAGTAAGATATCGTAGCATAGGTTTTTTATTTTTTATTTTTTTGGGGTAAAAGGATAAGCTTATCGTAGCATTGCTGATATGATTCAATCAAAAAATTATTCGTACATTTGTGATTTTTTATTTTTTTAACACTTTTATATTCAATCACCTAATTGCAGTCAGTGAGGTAAGTCTGTCCAGTAAAATGGACCACACACATTAATCTTTGCAGCTTACCGGACCCAAGAAAGGTTTCTCTCCACACTGCAAAACGATTCCCTCTCTCTTACTTTCTCGACAGCCAATCAAACCTTCACACTCCGATGTTCTAATCCATAGCAGTAGGTGCATCATTCAAGCGATTCTGTTTCACTTCCTGTTGATGAATTCAGTTGATACTAGTGATTGCAATCTATGGATTGGGGTTCCAACCACCTCTAGCAGACTCATTTATTCCTTTCTCATTCCTGCCTCCGGGAAAATAACAGGCGACCTGATCTCCGACGAGGTCACCGCCGGTCGGATCATGGATATACCGCCTTTGAGAAAGTCCAAGAAATTTTCCGACTGGGAATCCCAACAGAGGATGAAGATTAGGGTTTTGAAAAGGAGGTTGGGTAGCAAGAACAAGTATGGAGATTGGAGAGAGAATTTCTTAAGGTTCTAACTTGAGACCTTATTCTAAAACTCATTTGATTCATTTTTATATTATATAATTTTTATGTAGTAGTATGAGATATGTGTTAATTTTTTATTGTGCTAAGTCAGCAAGTATTGTCCTTCAAAATATTCCTTGTCTCCCCAACCTCAATACAACCAAAATAAAGATATTGTTGACCTAAAAATTATACATACATATATATATATATATATATATATAGATTGTCTGTAAGAAACAAAGTTCATTAGCATCTAAGTAAGCCAAAGATGCTATTTGATAGCATCGGAAAAATACAAAGACTAAGACTTACATAATTTACTCTATAAGTTTGATGTTAGATGAGATTCTGTACCTTTGTCATGTGGTGCATATAGATCGTTCAGTGCAATACATTATATTGTAGTGCAATATGTACATAAAAAAATATTGTTGTTATAGACCTTGATTAAAAAAAGTAGACAAAAATCGAACCTCTTTCTCAATGGGTTTGGTGAAGAGTTTCTCGGCCATTGATGTCAAGAAGGAAGAGAGTAGAGGTCGCCTCTGCCATGGATTAGTTGATTTAGAAAAAAATTACAGAGAATTACAGAGCTTGATTAGTTGATTTAGAAAAAAAATTAAATCAAAATCCATACATACAAGTTAGCAATTGCACAGAGAGAGAGGGGGGCAAGCTTGGGAGTTGAGAGCCAACAATTGAAGCTTGCGAACAGCGAAGCTGAACTGAAACAGCAAGAGGGGGCAATTTCAGAGCTGAGAACGAGCATAGAGATAGAGGCGATTGGGGAGGCTAAAATGATTTGCCCTAAAAATATATATGGCTATTTGGGAGGCTGAAATGATTTGCCCTAAATATATATATATATATATATATATATATTTTTAATAAAATATATATAATATACATATACATACATATATATATATATATATATAAATTTCCTAAAAAGAAAAAAGAATTATATAAAAAATTTTTATATAATAATATAATCAAATATATAAATTTATACATATATATATATATATATATATTTTTTTTTTTGGGTCCTTTTTTTACCAGATATTTTAGATTTTTGATTCTTTATAATTAAGTTTAATTTTAGTTTCCTTCTAATCTATAACTTGATTTGAAATGTGCCTAATATTAACATTACTGATGCAAATATGAATGGTGGGAATGGTAGTTGAAAAAGAATTGTGATTGTGTTAAAAAATAGCATTTTCATCATTGGAGCAGAATTATTTTCATCATTGGAATAGAATTGCTAAAATGTAATATTTTGACACTGTAAAACTGTCAAAATATAGATTGGACATCCGAATTTGACATTTTAACATTAGAGATGCTCTTAGCATCTAAGTAAGCCAAAAATGCTATTTGATAGCAACGGAAAAATACAAGACTAAGACTTGCATAATTTACTCCATAAGTTTGATGTTAGATGAGATTTTGTACCTTGGTCATGTGGTGTATATAGATTGTTCAGTGCAATACATTATTGTATTGCAATATGTACATAAAAAAATATTATTGTTATAGAAGCGATGTCACGTGGTTGAATTTCTACTCCCGAAGCAAAGTCCATTAGCATCTCCAAATGACAATACCACTACTGTAATAACCTTATAAAAAGTAGTATCAATAATATATATATATATATATGATTAGTACTACAACACAAATTGTTACGGCTGAGGATCCACCTGTGAAGTAAAGTCAACTAGCATCTCCAAATGACAATACCACTACTGTAATAAACTTATAAAAAGTATATTTTTTAATAGGATTAGGACAACTACAACACGAATTGTTACGGTAGAGGATCCACTCGTGAAGTAATTCCATTAGCATCTGGGTAAGTAAAAGATGCTTTTTGATAGTATAGGATAAAAACATGACATACACACACACACACACACACACACCCAATCCATAAGTTTGATGTTAAATTAATTCTAACATGTGATAAAGAGAGAGAGACATTTCAACTTGTGAATTTCAAGTGAATTGCTCTGTCCACAAGCCTTCCATCTCACGCAGAGTTGATCACTTCAAGACCTCACTCTGAGAGGGAGACAGAGATGGCCATTCCGACTTGTGCATTTCATGCGAATTGCTGTGTCCAGAGGCCTTCCATCTCACACAGAGTTGATCACTTCAAGACCTCTCTCTTCTCTGTTTTCAAGGTTATTATATCTCTCACTCTCTTTATATATATATATATATCTATTTCTCTGTGGTATGATGCAAGCCCACTAAAATGCGTAGCTTTTAATTCACGTTTCAACAAGTTAAATCTTCACTAACCCAAGTACGCAGATTTTTATAAGCTAATGTCCAAACTTAATTATTAGAGTTGCCTACTTTACAGCCATATTTGGACATGTAAAACCCTATTCTCTAAATTAAATTATCAGAGTCTGCTAAAACAAATTCATTTCAAGTTCAATTTCAATTTCAATCTTATCTGCTTAATTTTAGCTTCATTGTGGCACATTCTCTCTCTCTCACTCTCACTCTCACTCTCGTTTGTTTCTTTGTTTGTTTGTTCTGTTTTGTTTTGTTGATAATGACAATAAATTAAGCTAGCTTTATCAAACTAGCAACATACCGGAACTAGAGCCATGTTAAACTGAAAACAATGTAATTTTTTTTTTACAAGTGCATACCTGATATACTTTTGGTTACAATGAGCAGCCATTAATGAAAGAGTTGCAGCAAGATCCTCTGCAAATCAGTGTTTCTGAAATCATTAAGAACACATCTGTGACGTTGTTGGATGCCTTTGCTGATTTGGTGTTCGAATTCAATGATCAACCATTGCTCCCATCTCAGGTACCATTGTAATGCATTAATCTTTCATGCTAATGCAAATTAAATACAAAGAGAAGGTAATTTTGATTGATTAGTTGTTAATTATATCTACCTACTTGCAGAGTAACTTTGCTCCGGTTGAAGAGTTGGGAAAAGCTGTTCTTGTTACCAACATTGAAGGGAAGATTCCAGATGATTTTCCAGAGGGTGTTTACTTAAGAAATGGTACATGATATCCTTTAAACGTCATAGTTTAACATGCAAAATTGTTATTTTCCATAACTAGTAGGATATGGTAAATTTTAATCTTCAAACTATTTGGATTATTACTTTTTGATTGCTTGTTTGAAAAGTGTTATGAAAACACAATTGTGAAGGCATATAATGAATTGACTAGGAGGTAACTAATCATTTGATGGAAAAATAAAATAAAAAATTTAACATGAGCTAACATCGATATTGAATATATACAAAATCTAGCAATTGTAACCTACCCCTAGTGGCATTATATAGTGGGCTAAATATTTAAATTACAATTGGCTGGAATGTAATTAGTGTAACTTTACGATAAGTGTAACCTATAAAGCAATTCTTTCGGCCTTTTGTTCCATCTTATCATGACAGAGTCCTTTTGGATTTAGTGTTGCTCTCTAACTCGTCATTTAATGATGCCCAATTGTTGGCAGTAAAAGTGCCAAACAAGGAGGCATTTTTTATTATAAATCACAAAAAATTATCAGTAAATGAATGGTATTATTTGAATTTTGCAGAACACAATGATGAAAAGGGAGGCAACTTTGTTCGTGAGGCAGAAAGAAAGCATAAAAAAATGATAGAAAAATGAAACACATGAATTTGCTAGGAGGTGAACTAAAAAAATGATGATAAATAAATTAACATGGGCGAACATCGATTTTGATATATACAATTTCTAAACCGACCTGCTATTTAAAAACAAATTGGCTGGAATATAATTATTCTAAGTTTCGGTTAAGTTTGTCCTACATAAGAAGTGTCGGATTTTTTTTCCATTTGATCATGACAAAGTTCTTTTCAATTCACTTAGAAAATATAAATGAATTTGTTGTTATGGTGACAGAACACGAACTGTTAGTATGGCTCTCTATCTCATGATTTGTTGATGCCCAATTTTTTGCTGTAAACAAGGCCACCCTTTTGATTATGAATTCCAAAAAATGACAATAAATTATTTATAAATTTGCAGCGCCAGTTAAAATGTTAACTTGTGAATTGTACTGTATTTGAAGGCGCAAACCCTCTTTTTGGAGGACTAAAATCAACCATTTCTATGTTTGGAAGATCAAGTCACACTTGGGTGGAAGGAGAAGGAATGCTTCATGCTTTGTATTTTAATAACGATAGCAGTGGAAGCTGGACTGTCTTCTATAACAACAAACATGTTCATACTGAGACATTCAAGTTAGAAAGACAAAGAAATGAACCATCTTTTCTTCCAGCAATAGAAGGGGATGCACTGGCTATTTTGTCAGCTCATCTGCTAAATATGGTGAGCAGTTTCTCCCAATAATGTCTAGCCTTATCCGAATTAAACAATGGCATATATATATATATATATATCTTTGATTTGACCCTGTAGTCGTCTCCTGACTAGGAAATTACCCAATTAATTCTAAACAAGTATAATGTGCAGTCTGCAGAAACATTATTTGGCCAAATATCTGTAATTTGGACAGAATAACGACATTTGCCAACTTTTTGCCAAGTTTTGGCAAAAAACAGAAAACCCTGCTATTTATTTTAAGTATATATATATATGTGTGTGTGTGTGTGTGTGTGTTTCAGGCTATGCTATATTCTACCAAAGATTAAGTGAAGTACATAGATAATGGAAATTTAATACATACCATAATCTATTATTTATTCTGGAATATTTCAGTTAAGATTTGGCAAAGTAAACAAAGACTTTAGCAACACCAATGTTTTTATGCATTCGGGGAAGTTATACTCAGTTGCTGAGAATGATTTGCCTCAAGAGGTAGACATCCTTACACTGGAAACTTTAGGCAATTGGGATGTCAATGGAGCTTGGAATCGACCATTCACTGCCCACCCGAAGGTACTTAATTCAGTAAGCTATACAATAATATTGTACCTTTGACTTGAAATCAAACAACTTAATGATTTTGCTATTCTACGTGCAGAAAGCTCCAGGTACTGGGGAGATGGTCTTAATGGGGGTTGATGCGAAGAAACCTTACTTTGAATTGGGAGTGATTTCAGGTATATTCTTATCGTGTTTTAGTGAAAGAGAAACATTTTCAAACAAGATCAAAGAGACCCACTCTGTAACACTTGTTTACATTCTAATGTCTTTTGATTTCCTCTCCCTTTTTCAGCTGACGGAAAGAAATTAGTACATAAAGTGGATCTCAAATTCAACAGGTGTACCCTTTGCCATGACATAGGTGTTACACCGAGGTAAATTAATAATCCCGTGTCTTTGCCTCTGGAGATTTCCATCAATTTTAATTCAACTTATTTAATATGGTTTTATGGCTGGCAGGTATAATGTGATCATAGATTTTCCACTAACTATAGACATAAACCGACTCATTAAAGGAGGCCCGTGAGTACATGTTCTTGAAATCCTTTCTAGAAGAACTTTAAAATAAGGTTTCAATTTATTGCTTGAAATGTTCACACTAATATGCAGATTGATGAGGTATGATAAGGAAGGGTACGCAAGGATTGGGGTAATGCCTCGTTACGGCAATGCAGAATCAGTTCAGTGGTTTGAGGTGGAACCAAGTTGTGTACTTCACATTCTCAACTGTTATGAGGATGGTGATGAGGTAAATGGCAAGAACAGTACACAGTACAAAGTATCTTTTTTTGAGCCGGTCCATACCTTTGAATAGAAGAATTCGAACCAATAATTAATTCACATTTTGAAAATTGTTTTTATGATGAAGAAAAGGTTGTAGTGTTGGGATTTAGAGCTCGTGGATCAATCATACCAGGACCTGATCTTGGTTTGAACAAATTTGAGTGGTTTTCGAGAGGTTTTAAGCCTGGAAGTTCAGTTGGAGACGAAGATGACAGTTTGACAAAAGACGGATTATTCTTTTGTCGTTGTTGTGAATGGAGATTAAATATGCTAAATGGAGAGGTCAAGGAAAAGTATCTCACCGGAACCGAATTTTCCATGGATATGCCTATGATTAATGAAAATTTTACGGGTGTTGAAAACAAATATGGTTACACTCAGGTTGCTGACTCTAGTGCAAGCTCTGCCTCAGGTAATTAAGAAACAATAACCTTTGAGAAAAACCCTATTACTCTTATAATTTAAATTATGAATTGCTTGACTTAAAATAGTCTGTTGATTGGATAGTTTAGGCATGGCCAAGTATGGTGGACTAGCCAAGCTTTACTTGGGAGAACCAGAGCACAGATTTTATCAGGTAATAGACTTCTTGCTCATTTAAAATTTTTTTCTACTATGTTTCCTGCATGTTTGATTGTGCTAAACACTTTGACATGTGATGCAGGGAAAGAGACAACACGAAAACTTCATAAAGGTTGAATATCATAAATTTGAGAAGAACACTTTCTGCTCTGGAGCTACGTTTGTCCCCAAATGTGGAGGTTCCGAGGAAGACGATGGTTGGATCATCTCTTTCGTTCAAAATGAAAATACTGGTATATCTCAGGTAATTCATTCCTATCATCAACAAATATTGTTGTTTTTAACTTTTCATGTTAATCTAAATTTATATTGATCTACAACATTTGTTGCAGGTTTATATAATTGATACAAAGAACTTTACAAGTGAGCCAGTTGCCAAAATTATGCTTCCATGTAGAGTGCCATATGGTTTCCATGGAGCTTTCATGTCAAAGCCCTTTCAACAATAACAGGATCAGAAGCTTTGTGAAACCAAGATATTGTATAAAATATAGTCAATATTTACATAATGTTACTTCCTTGATCCTTCTTGTCCTACTGTACTCTATGTAATTGTATGTAAATTTCTATGGAGAGATATGGTTTCTGTAATGGTTTTTCTTTTTAATTATTTTTATTTATATATTTTTTTAAACTTAAGCTGTTTTGATAAGGTCTATTAAATTTTGTCAGTTGTAAGGCAGGATCATGATTCATGATCCTGATGTTAAATTGAAAAGAATATTTCCTACGCTTGCTATTATAGTTCTATTTTTTATGAATAAGAATTGAACCCTTTACACAACTCCTCTTATGGGTGAGTAGTTCACTAGGTCTCTCCAAGAATCCGCATACATTATGTATAAATTTTGTACTAAATCTTCTCTAATTTCAAATCAATTCCGTACTTCCAAATAAAACAAATATATGTATAACAGGATAAATTACAACAAAACTGAAAAGAGAGATGTAACATTATCATATGATCAGTGATACTATCAATATAAGAAATAAAGTTGAATAAAAAAAATTATTGTAACATAATATAATCACATATTATATATAATTAAATCATAATAAATAAATAAATAATTACAATAACTTATTTTTATTAGAATATCGTTAACATCAATTTCCGAAGGAGCAAAGTGGGTATCTGTTAGTTTCTTGCAAAAAAGAAAAAAGAAAAGAAAAAACTAAACTATTTAAATAGGAGTAATGACAAAAAACAGACTAAATAATATAAAATAAAATTGAAATCATGATTCTCTCTTCATTGATATCTGTTCATAAATTCATAAGCTAACAAGTAGTACTATTAATAGAAATGGTAGGATCGCATTTAATAAAGATGCAAGAGTGATGTTGTGTTGCTCATCACTAACTCTTGGTGTACTTTCATCAAATGTGCTGCCTTCTGTATTAATTTGTTATTAAATTATGTGGTTTTGCTGCTATATATGTGTGTATATATCTATATCTATATCTATATGTATGTGTGCGCGCGCGCGCCACTGCCAACCAAACAACCAACAATTATGGGGGAGTATTCGATCACAATGTCTGTCTCCAGATTGATGTTCCCCCCTCCAGATCTTCAACTTCAAACTTATTGCTTTGGCCAGCACACATCAACTAATTCTCTTCAATTTCTTCCTCTTTTTATGCATAAGTAAAACCAATAACCTCACATAATTATATATATATATATATATATATATGGGACTCCCCATTTGTTTAAAACATTGTAATGATCTAACATGTCAGACAGTTTTGTAATAGATTCAGTGTTATTGCTGACACGAGAATTAATGTTATCAATTAAAACTAAAATAGTAAAATGATAAATTCCTTTAACACCATCTAACAAACAAGTTTATAGTTGGAAAAGTTAAAAAAGCTGAAAATTAATGCGTACACTTCAATTTTTTACCTACACACTATAATTAGTTTCGATAAATATTAGAATAGGTCAGAGAATATTACTTTTACCTTTATTGCCTATATATGCGCGCCTTGACAATATTTGTTATTATCATAAACAGATCCAAAAAAAGACAATATCAATAGTAGATGTTTTCTACTCTCTTGAGGTTAGCCTCTTTGGACATGGATCATATCTGGTACATACTTGTTTGCTGCACAAATAAAGGATTCAATACCTTGTATCACCATTAAATTGAAAATGTAATACTATTGAAGATGTAATTGCATTCTCAATTTAGTGGCATTGTAGTATTGCACCACCATGATGTAATATTTTGTTACATTTTCGATGTAATTTTACGGGCAAATTACACACGACTCAACGTTTATACTTTGAACTCCGTTGAGATTTTATGTGTGCTTAATCGCACTCTTTATCATTTTCTTTTTGGTAGATTTGTTGATCAGATTTTATAAAATGATAATTTGTTTATTCTCTTGTATAAAATGCAAATAATAAAAGAACATTGTTGATTTTTTACGATCAAAGTTATTTGTTGGCTACAGACAAAAGGATTTAGGAGAGATGAAATTAATAAATGGTAAACGATGTAATTTACTCAAACCTCCATTTTAAGATTAGTATAATTTATTCTAATTTTAAATTGCACATATTGAAGAGGATTATGGTTCCAACCTCTTATGTATATATAATGGACGCTTGGACAAAAAAGGCAACAGTGCCAAGAAGGATATATACGATTATACATTTATGTATCTATATATTACGTATGAATTTGTTCATAAAATGAATCCAAAATAATAATATTAACAATAAAAGAATGCAAGTGTATATCTCATGCTAGTACAGAAAAATTAAGTCGATCAAGGACCACAATTTGAAAGCTTAAAAATTTGGTAATTTACGGCCACATTTAAATTATTTATCCATATGTTCAAGTGCGAATATTTATGTCCAAACATGTCCAAACATCAGACGTATTGAATTTTGAAATAGTGTGCCATGTGAAAAATGTTAAATACTTATTATCAAATATTTCTTTGTCTTACATAATGGTTAATTAGGTACATGCCCAAGTACCCACAACCCCTTGGGGTTATCCTGCACTTGAAAGAAGAAGTAGAAAAAAGGAATAAATATAGTGATAATTTGATTCTTCGTCGCCGTAGTATGGATGCATATTTCCTACTCACATCTAAATATATATTTTTTAAAATAATGGGAGTATTCGTAATGTTGCTCCGACTAACCCATGTTTAAATATCAGCGTAGGATGATAAGTGTAATTCCCCCCACCCCCAAAACATCAAATATTATTCATCCTGAAGAAGAAGAGTGTGGGTGTTCATTTACCAATTGCTGACATGGCATGTTGATAAGTCAACATAACCCTTTATCTAAGATTTCGTGGCATGTTGAAAAGTCAAAAAATTGCACCAGTCTCGAAAGCTCAACCTATCGAGCACCCCAAGTCTTGGCAAAGCACCAGACCATCAAGCTTAGAGAACTTAACCCTTGAGCACCCCAAGCCTTATCAAAGTACTAGGCCATCAAGCCTTGGGAACTTAATGTTAATAAAAATAAATTAATGTATCATATACTATAGTATAATTTATTTAAATATTATTTGTAAATATAATATTTATTATAATAATCTATATATATATATTTATATAGTTTAGTATCAAGAAAATAAAACTATAAAAGAACCTGATAAAGTCGAGGCTAGAATTTAATTCTATAGCCTTAAGACAGATACGCCCCGCTACGGTGCTAACGGACTCTTCGGCGTCTATCTCCCAGGATACAACGACTTTTCTTCCTTTGGTAGTAGCACTTCAAACCAATGGAATAGGTGAACCGGCTCGGTGTAGTACTCTCTGATGAACTCAGACTCGGAGACCAGGATTGAACCCTAACTCGGAAACCAAGGTTCGAACCCAATCCAAACCAGTTTAGATTGAACCCAAACCAGTGGCTAAACCGAACAAGAAGAATTAGAAGAAGAAATTCAGAAGAAGAGAAGAAGATTTCTGAATTTTGTGTGAAAAGAAATGAACCCAATGATGGGTATTTATAGGCTTGTTGGTGCCTATTCTCAATGGGTGCACCCATAGTCCGAATGGGTGCAACCATTGTTGACCAATCAGAATTAAAATTTGTTGGTAGTTTTTAATTTGTAAAGGGTGCAACCCTTGGTTCTTAAAACTGAATCCTTTTAATTCTGATCCAGCCCAGCCCTTAATTTCCAGCAAGCAAATAACCCAACTCGGCTATTAATTCAGCCCAGTAAACAGGCCCATTTTGATAAGTCCAGCAGCAAAATAAAATTACCACACAGGCCCATCCTAACTTTGGGTAAAAAGTTAAACCCATTTCACAATCAAGCCCCGCCCCGCCCTAGCCCGGACCGGACCGGGTCGGGTCGGGCGGGCGGCGCGCGCGTGTGGTAGTTGGTTCGGATCCAGGCTAGCCTAGGTCCTCCCCCTCTTAAAAACTTGGGTGCCCTTGGGCCCAAACCCAAATCCCATACTAGACATATATATACTCAAGGTTGCTTTGCTACTTTTTCGATGTGGGACAAGCATTTCCCACTTTATTCACACCCATTTAGGCTTTATAAATCACTTACTTTGGAGCCAATTTCTCATTCACCCGGAAACGGATTTGAGAAAATAAATATACCACGTTCATCTCCTCGCAGAGAGGAACGCGCTCATCAATAGATTCGCAAAAAATTCTTAGCGGAATCTTTTTAATAATCCTTCCAAAGTTTGCGTTTTCTAATGCCATTTCCAACAATCCCCCACATGAATGAAAATTTTCGCAGATTACAAAAGGAGAAGATACAGACACTATAGAGAGTACTATTGGAAAGTTACTACATCGGGATAGGTAGCTTTTGGCCTTGAACCTTCCCTAGTGTATTACTATCGGATTTACTAGCTAACCAGTGAACATTATGTCTTGAACTGTTCAGCCATTGATGTAAACCAAAACAATAGCAAACACACAATTCCTTCCCACACAAAGTCGGTTCTCACGGTTGTGTTCATATGGCCCTGAACAACGCCTGGTATTTCATGAGCGCTCCAGAAAACTTAGCCTTGGAAGTTCTCATAGAAGCGGCCCCACTTCACACTCATATAGGTGACTTCTTATTAAGAGTATCCTACCATACCCCACTTGAATTTTCAAGGTATAAGAGTCATTAAAAGCATAGCTTATCCTACTCATTGCTGTAGGTAACACTGTTTCATCATAGAAATGGGTAGAAGATTGAATTTTCCCAGTGCTTCTGGTGAGCCATTCAGAATTTCTGTTGTCCCTTTGAACCTAGATCTTGGGATCTCCAGTCAACTAGGTTGGGTTTCCATTAAGATGACTCGTTAGCTTTCGGCTTTAATCCCATTCCCCTCGATGAACTATATACTTGCTCTCTTGTCAAACCTTTTGTAAACGGATCCGCTAAATTATCTTTTGACCTGATATAATCTATTGAGATTATCCCACTTGAGAGCAATTGTCTAACGGTATTATGTCGTCGACGTATATGTCGAGACTTACCGTTGTACATATTACTTTGTGCCCTTCCAATTGCTGATTGACTATCACAATGTATACATATAGCGGGCACCGGTTTAGGCCAATTTGGAATATCTTCTAAGAAATTACGAAGCCACTCAGCTTCTTCACCTGCTTTATCCAAAGC